TCAGTATGTCCATTTGGTTCTGTTGAAATTGAGCTTGCTGTAATTTCATACTGAAATCATTTGTCATATGTTGATGATGTTGCATACTGCCCCTGTTTGAATTAGAAGGAGCAAGAAGATGCGGGTTGTTTCCAGACATTCTTGCGGCTTCATCTTGTTGAGAACGATCTAATATCTCCAATAAGCTCATAGGTTGGGTCTTGTTCATTGAAGTATTCATGGACGTAGGATGTCCTCCAGCTTGTGCTTGTTCCAACAATTTTTTAAAAGCTGCTGCCATGTCTTCGTCTGGTTTCTGTTGCTGATGTTTTGTGTGAATACTCGTTGAAGTGTCTTGGCGAATTTTTGCCTCTAACTCTTCCAAATTAAGAATTTTTCCTGCTGTTACTGGTTGTTTCATGGGGTCAGGTTGCTGCTTCCCTCTTAAGGAAGTCTTCTTCCTTAATCGAGCAGTTCTTTGGACAACATGGACAACAGAATCCCCAACAACAGCAAGTCTTACAACAAAGGGCACAGCAGTAGTTAGCTTTCCAGCAACAGCAGCAGCAATCTAACAATAGCTACCTCTAACGCTGAGCTAAATATTATTGTGTCTCTTAGGGAGAGCGCCCACCAAAGTGGCGTGGCACGTGGCACGTAGCAAGTAGCACGCGTCTAGCATGTTACTTAAAATGTAACCAATGAAAACGAATGATTCAGCGCACACCAAAATGACAGTGACGTCATTCGATCTAATAATTCGTTCGCATTGGTTATATTTTATGTAACATGCTAGACGCGTGCTCCTTGCTACGTGCCACGTGCCTCGCCACTTTGGTGGGCGCTCTCGCTTATATAGCTTGCTAGACTATTATAGTAGTCACGTTTATTCATTAAATAGTTTATGTATATATATCAAGTTGGTGGAAATATTTTTCATTTATCATCATTTTCCCTATCGAGCCTTTAATTAGCTTATAGCATAATTCGAGTTTTCTTATGATAGACACCAGCTATTTCTCTACTTTTTTTAACACATTGAATGTGTCGTGCTTGCTCTAACTATTCCATTTCAATACTTTCTTAATCTGTATCTTTTGTTTTATTAATTTCTATTGTTGTTCTACATTCCTCTTTGTTATTACTCTGTTGTCTTCTCTGCTCCACCAGCTTAAGAATATCGTCGGTCATCCATTGTTGTTTTCTTTTTATTCCAAATTTTCAACTTTTTTGAACTATTTTGAAATTTTTTCACTATTCCAGTTTCTGTTTTTAATTCCATACAGTGCACTACACAATACTAACCTGAAATGTCAAAGTCAACATTAGACGTGTAATAGTTTTCTGAGGAAATATCCTTCTTTTGTAGAAGCCAATTTCGTAGGATGAATCCATGAACACATCGAACCACAAAAAGTGACAAATTTATTTTGAATATTTTAGAATGATGAAGAATATGAACATTCATATTTGTTAATAAGTACGATACTCAAAAGGGTTTTTAAGAGTTTTTGATATATTTTGTGGGTGGTTAGAGGCTGGTAAGGGGTCTTGGAGGCAACATGAAGCTGCCGATGCTTTTGTTTTAACAAAACTCTAAGAAATGCCCACTGTTTTCCAATGAATGAGTTGGAGGTTTTAGGAATAAAACTCAGCTCTGCCAGCAAATCCTACTCTCACGTCCACGAAGACATTCCACGTCGCGTAACCACTGGGTGCATGGAGTGCGTTATGTAGCAAACGAGAGAGGGTAAAAGGCGAGTCTCTGGCGCCTAAAAACTGGAACATATCGGCTAGGAGAATGAACCCCAACAGAAAATTCGGTCCACCAAGGATGGGGGTTAAGTCGTAAGGCCAGCGACCTTACACTTGTGAAAATTCTACAGTGCTAAAAAACCCAATGAGCCTCGGTTACCGGACGGAAATTACAGTAGACGAAAACAGCAACGAAAATGGACCATGAATTACGGAATCTGGAATATACAGGGAATCCGGAACAAACAACAAGAAATTATGCAGGAATTCGTAAATCGAAAATTAGATATAGCCATTCTCTCTGAGACCAAGAAAAAAGGAAATGGAAGCGAAAAATTAAAAGACTATGTAGATTTCTTCTCAGGAGTGTAAAAGGATCAAAGAGCAAGAGCAGGAATATATATATTTGTACACAAGAAATTCGAAAAAATATATTAAATCTTGGGAAGCATATAACGTTTTATTAAAGTGATGATTCTCCTAAGAGGAACACAAATAGCAATTCTGGGGGTATATGCCGTAAATGAGGACTACTCAGTACAAGAAAAGGAAGCTTCTGAAGAAGACTTTAGAAAAATCCTGAACGAAATTCGTAACAGCCATGAGATTATATGCGGAGGAGACCTTAATGCCAGAGTAGGAAAACAAGTACGAAGTAGAGTGGTAGGCATGCATGGAGAAGCAACTCTTAACAATAACGGAGAAAGACTCATAAATATATGCCAACAATATGAGTTAAATATTTTGAATGGTTTTTTTGCCCACAAGAACATACATAAATACACCTGGTATCAGCACACAAGAGGTCTAAAATCGATAATAGATTATTTTATAACAAGGCAACAAACTAAGCTAAGAGTACAGGACGTAAAGGTGAATAGAGGAGCAGAGTGTGGCTCGGACCACTGCCTGATAATAGGAAAAATATATACACCATTCGTAGATAGGAATGACACAGACATCAACAAAGAACACAGAGAAAAAATAGAAAGAACGACACCTTAGACAATCTAGATAACAAGAGCACACAATTACTTTACTCGTGGAGACTAACACAAAAACTACAGGAATCACACAGATCAACGACGGATGAATACGGACATATAAAAAAACTGCATGAAAGACAAAGCGCTAGAAGCCTTAGGGCTACAGGTACGGAGAGTAGATAAACCATATTGGTGGAATAAAGACGTGGAAGAAAAGATAAAAAGAAAGAAGGAAGTATATAAAAAGTTATTACAACAGGGAGACGAACAAACAAAACAACAATATAAAAACTTGAATAAAGAAGTCAAACGAGAAGTCGTTAAAAAGAAAAATAGTGCATGGGAACAAAAATGCCAATACCTAGACAACCATATAGGAGGGACAAAGAGCTCTGAAGGCTGGAGAACTATAAAAACGATGAGAACAACGACAAAAAACCACGTCATAATAAATAGAATACCAGAGAACACATGGATAGAGCATTTTGAGTACTTATTAACAGAGAGAAGAGAAAGGTTTAAACAGACAAATGAACAAGTGCAAGTAGAAGGGAGAATAGAACTCATAGTTATAGAATAGAATAGAATCAATAGAACAAGTAAAAGAAGCAGTTAAGGGGATGAAATTAAGAAAATCTCCAGGCCCAGGTGGAATACAGCCAGAGTTGATTAGATATGCATCATCAAAACTGCTTAAAATGATCCGAAAATTATTCGAAAGATGCTTAAACGAAGAAGTTCCAGAAGAATGGAGACAATCGTATATCTCTCCAATACACAAGAAAGGCACAAAAACGGATCCTAAAAACTATAGAGGGATCGCAGTGATTGCTTCTATAGGCCGATTATATTCAAAAGTACTGAGAAACCTGATAGAAAATGATATTAAAGATAAACAACACGAAGAACAAGCGGGATTTAGGGCCGGACGCTCCACTATGGATAATATTTTTACGTTAAAAATTGCAATGGAAAAACGAGAGCAGAGAAATAGAGAAACCCATATAGCTTTAATAGACCTGGAAAAAGCATATGATAGTGTACCGATCTCCTAACTATGGATAGAAATGGATAACTTGAAAATAAACCCAATTCTTATTAACGCCACTCAAAAATACTACGAACAAAACTTTGCAAGAATTAAAATGGGACAAGAAATCACCTCTCCTTTTCAAACAACAAAGGGACTCAGACAAGGATGCTGTCTGCCACCCACCTTATTTAAAATATATTTGGACAGATCCTTTGTGAAATGGGTAAAAAAGTATAGAAACATGGGAATAACGGTGGAAGAAAACACGCTTTGGTGGAATATACACTTTTCTTTGCGGATGACCAGGTAGTAATTGCCGAAGATAGCTACGATCTTAGCTATATGGTAAGAAAACTGCAAGAAGAATATAAGGTGGCAGGTCTAAACATGAATATGACAAAATGTGAATATCTATCAGTGGGAACAGATGAAATATGTGACCTAGTCTTGGAAGACGACAAAATAAAAGGCGTACAATCCTAAAAATATTTGGGGTCATTTTCAATAAGAAGGGAAATAGCGCAGATGAAATCAGGAAAAGAATAAACAAGGGTAGAGCAACGACCCGTGCCTTAAACTCTCTTCTCTGGCAAAAAACAATTCGACGAGAAACCAAACAACACATTTACGGTAGTATAGTCTAAAGTATTACACTTTACGGTTCGGAAGTATGGGACGTCACCAAAGCTAATAAAAACAAACTTATGACGACAGAAATGGATTGAGACAAAGCTGCGGTAAATCGAAACTAGAAAGAGTTAGGAACGAACAAATATGAAACGAAATGAAAATGGAGCGAAATATCAATGATGACATAGAAAGAAAACAATTAATCTGGTTCGGACATGTTAAAAGAATGCCAGAGTACAGATGGCCTAAAAGAGTACTAGAATGGATCCCTCCTGAAAGAATAAAGAGAGGACGACCACGGAGAAGTTGGCGCAACGATATTGATGAATCAATGGCGGCAAGAGACTTAGAAGAGGCAACTGCGTATGACAGAAAAAGATGGAAATTGGGGGCGGAGAAGCGGCGACAGCCGTAATCAATCCGTTATTAAATATTATATATATATATATATATATATATATATATTTATATATATTATATATATATATATATATATATATATATATATATATGATATATTTTGTGAGCAGAAGTTAAACAATTAAATTGTTAATTAAATTAAATAAATAATACAGAATCTCAAAAGTTCACTAATAAAGTATTTTCTTGTTTTTCAGGCTTAATAACATACAAACCGGTATTTGAAGATTACTTCTATAGAGCACTCAAGGAACTGTACGACGACAACATTAAGTACATGGAACTTCGCGGTTTTCTTCCGCAAGTATATGACTTAGAAGGCAACATTTACAATCAAGAAGAAGTGGTAGGAATCTACGCAAACGTTTTGAAGAGATTCCAAAAAGACTACCCCGATTTTTTTGGCGCCAAATTTATCTACGCCCCCAGTCGACATATCGATAACTCTACAATGGACACATTTGTTGAGACTTTTAGAAAAATCAAAAAGCTGTATCCTGATTTCGTTGCTGGGTTTGATTTAGTAGGTCAGGAAGATATGGGTAAGTAAAGGTGTAAAAATATACGAAGGTAATAAGTAAACAAAATTACGTCTATAAAAATGTTCTCGATGTTTAATAAATAGTGTCGGCATCTTTGGTACCTCGATTAGGTAATGTGATGCTGGTTGCATATAACCTAGAGCGTTAATTCTATGTGCGAGTTTCACTATATTAGCTTTAATTTTCTTTTGTATCGTCGCAGCATCCCCAACAATCTCAATTTTATCAAACTTATCAAGAAGCATGTACAAATATAAAATTAATATTAATATATAGGTTTTTTACTCCTTCTTTACTATATTTTTTATATATGTTTACTTGTAGGTCAACCACTAACAGCCTTTTTGTCCCAATTGATAGAAATCAAAAATCTTGGAGCCAAATTCTTCTTTCACGCTGGCGAGACAAACTGGTACGGAGAAACAGACCTCAACTTATTCGATGCCATCTTGTTAAACTCCACCCGAATTGGACATGGATATGCCGTACTAAAACATCCTCTAGCAGCAAAATACGTCAAAGAAAAACAGATTGCCTTAGAGATATGCCCCATTTCGAACCAAGTCCTCAAGTTGGTTACGGATTTAAGAAACCATCCCGGCAATTTGTTGATCGCTAATGGTTTTCCGGTGGTTATTGCTTCGGATGATCCCTCCTTTTGGGGAGCCAAGGGTCTTAGTGATGACTGGTATATGGCTTTTATGGGAATGACTAGCAGGGAGACAGATCTGCGTTTTCTAAAACAACTAGCTATTAACTCGATTGTTTATAGTAGCTTGGATGATATTCAGAAAAATGCAGCGCTATCCTTATGGCAAAATGATTGGAATGTGTTCATAGAAAATATGCTGATTCGATTTAGGCATAGGAATTAATATTTAAAGACAATGATTTAAAAAGTTTTGTAATATACTTTCTTAATAAAACATGTTTTTTATTTAACTAGTCATATGCCAGATTTCGGCTAGTTGTTTGTTTTGTACTCAATCTAGTTGTTGTATCGTCCCATTTTATTTGCTATATCGGATGTTAGGATTCGGTCAGTTGTTTATTTTATACCAGAGGCCATATTACTCAGACATATTCTTTAAGTCAATAAACCAAAATTTGTCTTATAATAAATCTATTTTTATCCATAGTGTCCTATGATATTTCATATGTTTTTAAACGTTCATTATTAATAAAGATACTGTGAATTGTAGTTATGGAAATGGCCTTGTTTGTTCTTTTATCTTACTATATTTACTATTTCCTTCCCTTTTTCCTAACACATCATACGCTCCAATCGGATCAATAACAACGGTGATATGATATAGTGCCCTTTTGGCAATGCCGATATGTGTATTTTTTCTGTCTCAACATATTCTCTACGCCTTGTCTTTTCCCATGATATAACGATACGACGAACTATTGGATCACACCCACCACAAACTACTAAAAAATATTTGAATGATCAGTACGACTTTTTATGACAAAATAGTGTCAGCCATTCTTTCCAAGCAGTTTTCTTAAACAAAAATGTAAATATATGTATATAAACGTATGTAAATATTCTCTGTTCCATCTTTGCCAATAGTCTGAATATAATCGTTGTACTACTTGCCAATGACTTGGTTGGTCGATGTAAACGACACTGTAATCCAGATCAATAATAACCTCTAAAGGTCGAATGTCATAAAATGTGGAGGTGTTAACACTTCTTGTCCATTCTGTTAGCTAGGTTACTATGTTCGAGAAGATACAAGGAAGAAATAATCTGGACCGAAATAGAATATTATGTATAGAGATATCTAAGAAAATTATTTCGTTGCAAATAGTTAAAACGATTAATAACGATTTTCAACCAATAGGAAAGGGAACCTTACGAAAGAGTTTTATAAAATAAGCCATGCCTTTAATTTTTTACGAAACTACGACTAATTTGACCATTGCATGTTTTGTAAGTCTCAATCTCTACTTTATTTCTTCAACTACTTGTCTTAAAACGATAAAAATAGATTTTATTACCACACCAAACGTATTATTGAAGGTGAAATAATTCTTTTAATATAGTATCAAGTTTCTCGTGCACAGTAATTAGAGAATTATAAGAAACATTCATTAAAATGTTTATAAACACATTGACGTGAAAGAGGGCCATCCTAGTAAAAATTTATATTTTAACAAATGATGAAAACGAGAAATTCAGACTGGTTGCCTGTATACCATGGTATAAAACACTTACAATGATGTGTAAAACTTTTGATGTAATTGGTACTTATATTATTAATAAAATAAAAATATCCAAAAGGATTAAAAACATTTTCTCTTTTATCAGACCATCATCTTAGCAAAAGGCACTTACAATTAGGTTTAAGAACTTTTGGTTACGTGTAAAATTTTATTTAAACCTAAAATTTAATTACATAATGTCGCTGAATATTAATTTGAACAAAAACCGAAAACGATTTTGAATATAATAAAGTTGCCTTCATGGCAATAAAAACAATTGAAATAACAATTGAAATTAAAATAATTTACTAAGCTGATGATGCGTCGACAATACCTGAAGATGAGGATCATATATAGAGACTACTACACATGTTTGAAATAGAAGCATAATAATTAAATATGTTAATCTTTGTACAGAAAACGCAGTCTATCTCAATATCACGAAACCAGAAGATATAAGTAACCAATTAATAAAAAAAGTATGGAGCAAGATATTACTCTTACTTTAAAGATTTAGTCGATTTTGCCCGTCAGTGAACGACGTCAACATCAAGGATATAAATAAACATTTTACCGTTTTCAGCAGCAGTAGTGCAAGCAATGATGTTAACAGTGTAAGGATCTAAGATATGAGGAGACTGAGACCCCGGAAGCCTTGAAGAAGACATCAGAACGGATGTCGAAATCTCAGCTATAGAAAATCGACACGGTTAAACCCGGAAGCTTGGTGAGCTTGATATTAATTTTTGTTATAATATATCTTGTATATATATATATATATATATATATATATATATATATATATATATATATATATATACAGTATTGTGCGAATTAATGGAATCATAGGCTGTTTTAATGAAAAAAACAGATTATTTAGTAATTTGGCATAGATTCTATGAGTTTCTGGCAGTTGTCAGATATCCTTTCATCTCAATACCAAACCTGAATGGCCGCTTCTATCATTTTTGTTTTAGTGGTACAGGCGATTTTTCGCAGTCTAGCTTTGCAAATGGCCCATAAATTTTCAATGGGGTTGAGGTCGGGCGAATTACCGGGCCAATCTAAAACATTAATCTTCTTATTTTTGAAAAATGCCATCATTTCCTTTGATTTGTGACAGGGAGCAGAGTCCTGTTGAAGAGTCGCTCCTCCTTGGGGTTGACATTTTTGGAGTTGTTTGTCCAAATACTTTTACAACATGGATTTGTATTTTTGGCTGTTCATCATGTCTTCAATTGGAACCAAAGATCCAACCCCCATGTATGAAAAACATCATCAAAATATTTTCTTGACTGGACGTTTTACGGTTTGATCAATATGAGATGGTCTAAGCTTTTCATTGTCAGGGACCGCTGTCCCTGAACTATAAAGTGGGTTTCATCTGTAAATAGGACTTTTTCCAGTCGCCTACAGTCCAATTAGAGTATTTTTTGGCCCACAGTAGCCTTTGTTTCTTCATTCGTTCAGTTAGAAGCTGTTTTTTCTGTGGACGAATTGTCCTTCTACCATTCTCCAAAAGTCTTCTACGAACAGTTGAGTCATGAATCACTATAACTGATGCTGCTAGATCTTATTGTAGGTCTTGGCTTGATTTTCTTGGGACCAATTTGCTCTTTCGAAGTAAAAATCTATCATCTGCTGGTGTTGTTTTTCTCTTTCTTCCACATTTTCCTAACCTTTTCACATCCACTGATCCCGTTTCCCGTTTACGCTTCAAAATTTTGCTTACTACCCCTTGACTCACTCCACACATTCTAGCAATCTCTCTTTGTGGCATACTAGTGTGTTCACTCAACGTGACAATCTTTTCACGCTTCCTAGGCGTAATATCCATGTTGGAATAAAACCAAAAACAACACAAAATAGTACAAAAACCCCCAAAACAACACAAACTTGGCAAGAAATGACCTAAAACACACTCAAACACACCAACACACAGTAAGGTTATGTTTTCAATGCTTGGTCAGCTGTCAACTGTGTAGGTAGTGTTGCCAACTGTGAATATTGAAAAAATAAAAAAAAATTCAGTGATTCCATTATATATATATATATTATATATATATATATATATATATATATATATATATATATACAAACAACAAAGTTTATATCGACAGTCACTAATATCCAGTATTTATTGTATATATATATATATATATATATATATATATATATATATATATATATATCAATAGGTGGTGAGCAAAGTTCTGGAACTTCTGGATTAAATCCTAATACTAGCAGATTTTTAACGTGCTTTTGGAATTGACTTATTTCCATATTTTTCCATGGGGCTGTCGATCATCTTCTTTATTTAAAAGCTTGTTTACTTTTGAGTCCTCTAAAATACTATGTGTCTGCTGAAATAAAGATGTTTCTTGAGTACCTGAATCTTAGTATTACGTTTCAGAAATCGTTTTACTTTATTTTCTACTAATTTCTAATATTTGTTTTCGATGGGCCTTGCTCTATCTGATAAATATTTTTGGCACCTTTTGGTGCAAGAACCCTATTTTCTTTCGGACAAAGAGTAAAATAAGTTTCATCTCCGTTGTAAACTCTGCTAGGATCAGAAAGAATGTCAAAATAGTTCTTTTCAATTAAATATTCTTGTATATTATTAAACCACTTCCTGATATTATTTTCTGACATGTTTCCACAGGAATTGTTTACAGCTTCAGGAATTCTATTTGTAAAATGAGAGCGTCTTCTTAAAAACGATTGTTATCAATGATCCCCAGGAAGATTGCTTTTAAATGGATTTGATCGGGGGTTCTGATCCAAAAATAACTTAACAGAAGCTTGGATGTCCTCTTTTCTTCTCGGAAACCCTTTTCTGTGATTATCTACTACCCATTTTCTAATACAGTTTCTTCTAAAATACTTAAAACAGTATTTGGACCATTTGCTACTTTTTAAAATTTTTCGCTTAGTCTAAATTGCAGAGTAGCTCTGGGTATCCCATATTTAACTGATGCCATTGCCTTTGGCATGCCATTAATTATTTCCCGTAAAGATTTTTGAAGAATTTATTCATTATATTTTTTTTGTATATTTGCTTTTTTTTGTACTTTGAGCATTTTTTTCTTCCTCAAATTAAAGGTGCCAATTACTAAATGTAAATAAATACCTCAGCTACCTAATTATTGGCAGCACTGCTAATCACTAGCATTTGCTATAATATGACATCCAATTATTGGTATTTTTTTGGTATTGGTAATTTTCCCATCCTTTCAATTTTCTTCTACTTTTTACCATATTTATCAAATAGCAGTCATATTTTTCTTTTCTTAAAGATTACAGACGCTTCATTCAGTATTTTGTGGGTGTTCAACGTATTGCATCTATTTTCGAATTTTTCAATTCTATCACATTGTTTAGGAAGATGTTGGCTCTTTGCTTCTTGTGTTTTACATTTTCATTACTTTTGGCTGGTCATCTTATTTCCATCGAATCCAATATGTATTATGTCTACCAAGGCTTGTTTTTTACCTTTGAAGCTTATTTTCAATGTTTTTTACAGAGTTCCTTTCTTCTTCTTAACGTGCTCTATCAAGTCCCCTTGACGTTGGCGATTAACATGGCGAAACTGTCTCTGTCTCGAGCTATTCTAAATAGTTGCTCAGCTTTCTTTATTCCTGTCCACTCCCTGATATTCTTCAACCAAGAGGCCTGCTTTCTACCAATTCCTCTGCGTCCTTCGAT